GAAAAAAAAAAAGAATTCACCTTTTAAAAGTGTCAAATTCGTAAAAAAAAAATGAGGGGGGAGAAGGTTACCGCTTCTATACTCGACTTCCCTTGAATCAAAGGGAAAGGACACACACGAAGTAGATATATGTATGCATGGACATATATACATACGCATACATATATGTATAACACATACCCGCGTTAAGCAGTGCGGGGTCGTTCCCAACTGCGCTCATTCAATCCCTACGTGAGCACGTCCATTCGCTCGCCCAGCAATCAATGGGTGCGCATTCCACGCTGAGTGGTACGAGAAAAAAAAAACCCAACTCATGTAAGTCCGAACCCATGATGGGGAAACAAATGCACACGTGAGTTCACAGATACTGGCACCTCTCCTTGCCCCACCATAAGCTGCATGTGCATTTCGCACCAGGTCGATTCGCCAAATAGGCTAACCGCGTAAGCCGCGACACACACGAACAAACCGCGACTAGCTAACCGCTGCGGACTAATCGCCGCCCAGTACCACTGCCCACCAACGCATGCACACAAAAAAATAGGAAAAAATAAAAAGCATCAAATAACTTAAAGTGGCGAAATTCAAAAGGCCGAAGGAAAGAAATATGTATTAATTCGATTCGCAATTAACAACGACATCTTTTAAAGACATGAGTGTAATTTGGGTGAATGGAGGGGAAGGAAGGAGGGATAGAGACCCCAGGGGTTAAAATGGACAATCCTTTACTTTAATTCTTCAAGGGTACGAAAAAAATAAAAATATAAGGACAGGAACAATTCTGTCCATGGCACAGTTATGTATATAAGCGCATACACGAATAAAGGCATACGCGCATAAACATGTGCACCATGCTACATACACGTGTGAGTGAATCAAGGGGTGGGGGCCCATACACAAGGAGGTGTGCTTCTCCACGTTGATTCTGATGTGTTGAAGTGTGCGCCTACGGATGCTCATGAGTGCAGGGGAACACGAAAATGAAAATACGCACGCGACATCACACGGCTGAGGGGTTAAGTGTGCTTGGCGACTGACAGCGACGGTGCGCATTCCTGTCGGCCCGTGGGGGATAACACAAACAGGAATACGTAACGATAAGCGTGTAAATACAAAGGCATACGTGTCTACCTATACGGGAGTTCACGTCTACATATTTGGGAACGCATACCTACATTGGCACATACACACCATGGTCACTAGTGCACCGAGTTACACACAAGAGGGGGCCATGGCAGGGAGCTAAAAACTACATCCACGGGGCTGTCCGGAAGGAAACTTTGCCTTCTTGATAGCCGGCTTCAATCACATGCACTTTCGGCGCTTTTTCCAGTGTCCAGGCCGCTCGCACCGACACACGAAGGTATAGGAACCGACACACGAAGGTATAGGAACCGACACACGAAGGTATAGGAACCGACACACGAAGGTATGCGCACAGACACACGAAGGTATGCGCACAGACACACGAAGGTATACGCACATGCACACGAAAACATAGACATATGCACAGATACACACGTAAGCTTCCGCAAGCCACACTTTATTCTACAAACATCTTTATTTTCTGGTTGTTCAGCATGCCACCATCATAACGGCCTTAAGGGGGAAAAAAAGGGGCAATTTCAAAGGGTGAACTCCACACGAGCATTGTACGGACCGCACACACGATTTGCGTGCAACTGGTAGACACTCATACACTCTCACGAACGAGCGGCTCAACTTCCTTCGTGCTCTCACTCCCCTCAAATGGCTTTCTTCCGCACAGTCGTTCTTTCTTAATTTATTACTAGCTGCGAAGGAGGCTGATTCGAAATCCGGAAAGGTTAAGCATGCGCAGCCTGAGTGCTCGCCCTGCAGGGAGAGAGAGAAAAAAAAAAAAGTTTATGCAAAGCCAGCTAGCCAATTTGTCACTTTCACAAAAAAAAAAAAATGTTGTAGCCATTTTGTGAGGGCTCAAAATGTTCCTACCGTGCTGGTCAGCATAATGTCTGCTCGAAGAATATTCCCCATGAACCTGAAGGTTTCCAAAATTTCCCCGGAACTTAGGTTTTTCGGGATCTGCGGTGCGGGTAAAATAAGGGGATGCGTGTGTCCGAGTGGGCATACGTTCACACGTAAACTACATGGGCATACAGAAATATGCACCCATGGGCGGTAAGGAGGTCTATATGCACACAACGCAAAAACTCACATTCGTGACGATTATGTTGTGCGGCTTGCTGTCAAAGGACTGGTTGGACATTCTGGCCATTTTGTCCCTGTACTTGAACTTCATTTTTTCTGAACCTTGGTCATCTAAAGGGGGAGAAACAAAGGTAACGTAATGGCAAAGAAGGTACAAACGTCAAGGATAAACATGACGACTCGATCAGCTATCAATCGCTGGGCTACGCCCTAGGCAGGTGCACTGTATTGGCACAATTTTAATGCACGCTGCGGAAAGAAAAATTTATTACACATGGGGTACTTCATATTCGCTAAGCTGTTATCATATGGGACATTGGACATGGACGCGCCCATGGTGCCTCCCCACATATTGATGTCTGCGTGACAGAGAGAGAAAAAAAAAAATGAGCACCGTGATGATGGTACACTTCTTTCAAACATTGCCCATTTTAGTTGCTAAAAAAAAAAAAAAAAAAAAAAAAAAGGGGTCTCGTTCGAATGATTGGTGTGTTATCCAGTCGCTGCATTACTTGGATCACTGCCATACGACCTGGGCTCATAATATTTGGGCATATTGTTATCTTCAATGGAGTTAGGATAACTCGCGTACATTAGCTTATCATCGCCATAATCGTTTGTGGGAACCTTGGATAGAGCTGCGAAACGGGACAAAAGGCGAGAAAGTACGAGTCAGTAGAAGTTCGCCAACTTAGCGTGGTAACACAGGTATATGCAAAAGCATGCACGGCTAGAAGCGCACCAACTTCACGCTGCGACAGGGCAGCCGCTCCTCGTACCCGCTTCTCCCGGGGGCTTGTATACATAATAATTTGGATTGGCAGAAAGAGACATATTTGCGTAATTCTTCTTCATGCTCGGATGGGGGCGTTTTTTTTTCGGGCTGCCACTATGATGGTGTTGCATTTGCATATAGGAATACTCCCCACTTTGGTGCATATAACTATTAGACATCAACATGTTCCTTTTTTCTACATGAATGCTCATAGCATTGCTGTTTTGGTGATAAGGGGCTGGTCTCAACGTAGGACCTGACACATAGGCGTCATTTTCCATTACGTTATTCACTTTATATTTTTTTTTGGACGTATTGCTATAGTACACGTTTGACTGAAAATTGGAATTCATGTTCATATTGCAATTAGACATGGAACTCAGATTGACGTTTTCCGTTTTTATGTTTATGTTTGGATTGTGTGAAACATTTCTGGGGTTCATAGGAGGTAAGAGTCCAGTGCCAGGGGGACCCATGCTCATACTGTGATGGTAACTGGATGGATTCATCATTTGATGATTTGGGGGGGGGATCGAGCCCGACATGGAATTCCCCATCCCGCCACCAGAGCCTCCAGGCATTGAGCATATGTTTAAGAATCCCATGTTGGAGTTGTTTCCGAATTTATAGCTGTCCTCCCCGCCTCTCATCATAGAAGGAGGTGGTGGAGGAGGAGGGGGGGGTGGAGGACAGATGGGCAATGAATTGGGGCTACTGGCAGGATTGCTCTTTTGCATTTTTTTGTAATTCCTTTGCCCATTCTTGGAAGATAGAGATGCCTTTTTTTTGGCTTTCCTCATAGAATTTTTCCTTTTGTTTTTCTTTGGATTTCCCGATTTTTTCTCATTTTTTGCTTCCCCCTTTTCTTCCTCGTTCGTGGCTTCCGCCTCCACTTTCTCGGGGGCCTCATCTTTCGGCGACTCCATTTTGTCTGGGGTCGCGCATAAGTACGTTCGTTCCTTCGTTCGTTCGTGCGGGGAGATTTATAAGTACGAATAGGTATATTATACGCTTGGAAGTGGGGGCGCGTCAATGGTCAACCGTCAACCACGCGTGGGTGGTTTAGGGTTCAATGTGGGAAGAGAAATTAACTAACGCGAGAACGTTCTGCTAAAAAGAGGAAGCTAAAGGAGAGGGAGCTACACAGCGAAAAGGTGTTTTAAAGAAACAAGCTGGCAAAGTAACACTGCTCTTCCGGTGGGGGAAAAAAAGAAAACTGTTAAACTTCACGCACGTATGTTCAATTGGTATATGTGCATTGGTATGTATATACTTCGTCAACGATCATTTGCTGCCTTGTACATTCTCTCAGTCGCGTTCTCGTATAAATGGGTTGGTAAAAATTAGTCCTTTTTGTGCGGGGAAGGAGCTGTGCTCAACAGGCACATATATATATCATCTTACATTCGTCTGCTATTCCGATAATCACGAAATGTACGCCTCGAATGCATGTGAATTTAGTGTGGGTTCGTCACTGCTCCCTTTTCTGCATGTTTTTTTTTTTTTTTTTCCATTTTAAATCCTCTCATCCTTGTGCGTATATATGTTCCGCTGCAAACGGCTAGGGAAAACATCGAAACGGAAAAATATATTATATATATATATGTACAAAGTGGAGTTAAATTTTTTCCGCACTTTTTTTTTTTCCTGCTTCTTCAAAGTGCCATTCTCAGCGGTGCCCCAAGAGCACGTGAACGTGCGTGCATGCAGGTATTCCCCCAAAAAAAAAATATAAAAAATGTAACAAAAATAGGGAATGATATAAATGTAAAACTTCTTCACATCGTCCGTCCAGCATTACCTCTGCGCGTGGTTTTATTTAAGGAATTTTTTTTTGCACAGAAAATTGGCACAACAAAGTGTCAACGCTTGGAAAAGTATAACCCATTGGGGTGTGAACAGGCGAGGGGGGCCATTGTGCTGTTCACCTCAGTTACATATCATTTCACGTCCTTGCACATGCATATGTGTATACTTATTTGTATACTTATGTGTATACATATCTGCATACATATGCGTGTTCCTCTACCCACGCCGCCTTCAAAGTGGAGGCCTTTATTGTAGGCGAAAAAAAAAAAAAAAAAAACCACGTTAAAACGTTTTGCAGAATGCGTATATGTACTCGAAGTGCCCATTGGGCACACATACCGCTTTAGGCGTGTGGGCAACAAGGGGAGACCATCGGGGTGGAGGAGGGACTCATTACAGAAAACGGAGAACTCAGGAGCATTTGTAAAAATGCATACATAGTTGTACCATTCGGGAAAGTAACTGAGGAGAAGTGGTTCCTCGTTTTCTACTTCGTTGACCGCTTGGCAGGGTGAACACTTCAAGAAGGAGAGCAGGAAACTGCCACGATGCATACCGTTCCGCGCCGTTCACATTATACATATGCACAGTTCCCTTTTAAGCCTTTTATGTGCCATTAACCGGCAAAATGCTTAGGCCCATATATGTGGCACAGAAGATAGATATGCACTGGGAGTTATGCTCATATGGACTTTTTTCTTTTCCCTTTTCCCCCCTCTTTGCCTTTACGTCTTTACCCATTTGTTGCTTGCGAAGTTAGCAAAGTAGTGTTCCGCATGCTGGAGCTACAACAGGCCTCCCCCCCCTTTCCACATTGCAAGAACTCGTTTGTGTTCCCTACAGATGGGGAAGTGCTTAAGGGGGTGGATGTAGGCATATTTTGTTTCGCTTTTATAGCCTGCATCTCGGAGTAGCATTGCTCGAACACGCTTCCACGTACATGTGTGCTCCTGCAACCACCCATAAGTCATTTCTGTACCTGCAAACGTATGTGTGTAGTTAACTGCCGCCCCGCCGATTCATCTCGTTAATATCCTCCTCCCGCTTTGTTTCACTCTCTGCCAACAGCAGTTTAGTGTCCATTAGTTCCTGCACAAGGGTTGCAATTTTTTCTTCGTACTTCTGCACGTCGCCCGAGGACAAATTGTGATATGATTCATTTCCATCATGTATTGCGCTCTCGTTCTTTGGTCCCCCGTGGGAAGGTGGAGAAAAAAGTGAAATGGTGTTTCCCCCGTTGAAGTGAGCCTGTTCAGTTGTGTTTGGATCCCCATGGCTACTCACCCCTCTGTGACCACAACGGACCAATGTACCGGTTAATTCTTTAATAACGAGTTGCACCTTTTGCATGTCCTCCACCAACTTGTCAATGGTGACTAACTCGTTTATGGTTTTATTTTCCTCACTTGAGATTTTTTTAATTTTCGAATGAATGCTTGCTGCCCCTTCGTTGCTGTGCACATCTGCGTGATCATCATGTGGTGGTGTTGCCCCTTCTCCACTTAAGGGTTTTTTAAAAAGGCAGCCCTGTTGCGATGAGAATTGTGCCCGCTGAACCCGATTGGGTAGTCCATTCGGTGCGAAGTCGCTGTGTAGATTTGTACCACGTGTGTTTATGCCTTCTCTTGTGACTCCTCTCCAGTTGCGATCTACCGTTTTGGAGAAGTCCCTACCGACGAGATCCAGAAGGTTCTCCATTTCACCTCCTATGGGACCTCTCCCATTTACCGAGACAAACAGAAAATTTCCTTCTTCTCGCATGGCGTAGGAGTGGGGGCATGCGACATGGGTGGGAGCTCCAATAGGAAACTGTATACTTGTGAAGTGTGTGCTCATTTGGTTAGTTCTTTCCATCCCGTTTTTCGCCATGTCATTGTAGTTTCTCCCCTCCCAGCAGGGGGGAAGCCCCTTTCTATACACCTCTTCCCTTGTTCTAGAAACGGTACAACCATCGTGTGGAAGACGCAATGGAGTGGCGTAACTTCCCAGGCGTTGGTAGTCGTCCCATTCGTGTGCCGATTGCGCACTGATGAGGAGTAAGTGCCGAAGTGCCATCATGGAGGGTTCCAAATGTTCATCTCGTTCATCACAGCGTTGCACTAGATTGTGTCCAAGTGTCCAGTTCATCTTTCTTAACTCCCCACATGTATGGTGAAAATTATTTTGGATTGGCGGCTCCTCGTTTGGCGGCTCCCCAGTTGGTGGCTCCCCAGTTGATGGCTTCTCAATTTGACCGTTTTTCTCTTCCATGACAAAGTGCATGTTGTAATTACTGGGATGGCTACTCTGACCATTTTGTTCTGCTTGTGGACGGCATTGTACTTGTCTCCCCGTAGAATTGATTCCGTTCTGATTGGGACGTTCCTTCATTTTGTTCACCCCATCGTATCGCCGCGTCGGCGTCTGGATCTGTGTACGCCTTGTTGTGTGCCCTCCCTCAGTCACCCCTTCCTCATCGCTTTGTCGCAAAATGGACCTGTTCATTCTTTGTATCATTTCTCCGTTTTTTATTGCCTTCTCCATATTTCGGATAACTGATTGTACTTCCAATGCTGGATGATTAGCTTCTTTTTTGTTTTTCCTTCTGTTTATTTTTCTTTGCAGATGGTATGTCTGCGTTTTTTCCTCGGTGCGCGGAGGGTTTCCACTCTCAGTAGCTCCTTTCTCCTCATTTGTGTGTGCCATTGGGACGCCCCTGATTGGTTTCTCTTGCATAGTAACACCGTTCGCTTTGGGCGCACCGGACCGATGGTGCCAGCGCCGGCCGTTCATGCGCGTCAACTTTTGTAGCGAACTATCTATGGACCTTTTTAAGGCACCAATGGAATTATCGCGCGAGGAAATGGGGCGATCATATTCCTCACCTTTTCCACTCCAGTTGTTTGCCCTCTCTGAGTTGGTAGTGTTGTCCTCCCACGTGTAAGCCCCATTAATTTCTTCGCTGAAGAAGCTATTCCCCGCCATGCTCCCACTGCCGCTTCCATTGCCGCCTCCATCACTATCATTCTCGCTAGCCTCGTTCGTCTCTCCGCTGGAGGTCCCCCCACCTGGCGGCAGCGAACAACTGCGAGTGGAGGGAAACTCCTCCCCACTGTCTACCGACGCTGCGGTGATGCCACGTGCCCCTCCCCCCATGTTGCCACAGCGTACCTTCAAGTGAGCCGTTCCGCAGTTGAGTTTATTTTTTAAAATGACAAAGGAGACTTTGTACAGCTGACTCGAGGTAGAGACAAATTGGCTGAAATCAATTTTAGTCTTTCCTATCACGAGTTTTTTATTTTCATAAATTTTGTAAAAGATGAAAAAATATATTTTTTTCTCAAATTCTTGTTTGTTTTTTTTACAATATAGGGTAAGGTCAACAACGAGTGGGTTTTTAAAATATGCTCGACCCTTCCATAGCTGTGCCTGTTCACTCGAAGTTATGACCCTCGAGTTTCTCGCCAAGTCATATTTCACTTGGGTGTTACTGTCGTTTTTTAATTCGATAAAATCCACCGAAACGTCGAATCTGTGTTTCTGCTCCTTTTGGCCAGCCCGCCAGAACAAGCTTTTAATTTTTCCCGATTTGTTTATCGTCATGGCAAAGCGGTTCTGTCTGCTCCTTTGTTTTCCTTTAAATCGTCACTTCGACCAACCGCTTAGCAGTTTTGTTTGGATTCAATTTGCTCTCTATGAATATACCATCATGAGCAGAGGCGGAAAAAAAAAAAAAAAAGAAAAAAATTCCACACCCTCGTGCAAAGATGATCCCATTTTATGTTCCCCATAGTGAATGAGAGGCGCCCCAAAAATATGTATCTTAATTAGGATGGTAAAATTGTTTGCAGATCGGTTGATGTTCTTTTTTAATTTTTTTTTTTTTTTTTTTATCATTTGGAGAGGAAAACACGGAGATGCGAGCAACATTTGGTAGCCACACCTTCAGCGCTTAAGAATTCGATTAGCTACCATCTTTTCGGAGTTTCAGTGTGGGGGGGAAATTGTAACGGGAGAGGGGAAGGGGCACTTAAAAATATCTGCATGCAGAGAAGCATATAGAAAAGGAGCCAAAATATACCTTCCGCTTAGCAGCTCCACGAAAATTTCCCCGTTTGGATTGATGACCACTTGGCTGGATGAAAAGAATTGTTCTGACCTGCGAAAGCAGTGAACACAAATGGTAGCTAGTTAACAGGGGAGGAGCAGCTATAGAAGGGAACTCTTTTTCCCACAATTTACTCTCCTAGCGTGAGACATCCCTTGTCCTGTAACCATGTGGTGCGTCCCTCTCCGTAGGGGACTCCTATATATAACTTCCCCTTTGGGTAAGTTCCTCAATGCATCCGTTTTTTTCTCCCCCACGGTGAAGGTAAAAATGTGCACTCCGTGTGTCGTATTTCATTTTTCCTGCACACCCCCAAGAGATGGGCCCCAATGGCTGCCATCGGGAAGGGCAAGCAGGTTCATCTGCCGTTCCGTTGGGACAAAAGAGAGAGTGATATTCTCTGACGTGATGTTCCCCGACGCGCTGTTCTTCCCTCTAACCATTCGGGGGACAAGGTGTCCTCGCTGGGATGATTCCTCTTTGCTGCCCCCGTCCAAGTCCACTAACATTACGCACCGTTAGCTATGTCCATTGGGGCTGTTAAAATGAGGCTCATTTTTACACATCTATACAACAGAAGGGGTGCAATGTGTGTTCTTAGTTTAAATTGGTGGCTTCCAAGTGGGAGAAGTAATATCACTGAGGCTGTTACGAGGAGTAAGGAGAGAATTAGCGCAGAAATGGGAGACGTCCTCATTTTTGCTCTTGAAGTGGGGTGGCGAATATAACCTATACGCCTCATTTGTTCAGAGCGGAGGTCCCCAAGATAAAAGGTCACCTATCTACCGCTTGTCCCATTTGGAAAAATTGGGAAGCATAACTGGTTGGGGAATATATACACAAGAGGAGGAGGGATTACAACGGAGAAGGGGTTCCGACGAAGAAGAGATTACAACAGAGGAGGGATTACAACACAGAAGGGATTACAGCGGAAAAGGGGTTACAACGGAGAGGGACTACCTTTTTTTATGTGCTCTGACAAGTGCCCCCCATGAAGAGGAAAACAATAAACGCGAAGGGGCAAACATGATATGAAATGGTGGAAAACGTCTGGAGTCATCTAACGTTCCAATCCTGGAAGCACCAATTTGGTTCAGAAATTTTGTGTGCAGAGATTTGCCCCTCTTCGATTTTATAGAATGGGGCATAAGATTAGGCCAAATGGGGGTACACCACAGGGGAGGCACACATAGCAGGGTCGTTAAAAGTGCTCATATATTTAAAGTCAAAATTGGCTTCTATTTTGAAAAAATCGCGTTTCTTTTTGTAAAAGTCCAGTTTCATTTTGCAAAAATGAGTCTAGGAAAATCGTCTTAACTGTGATTCCCCTCTTTTGGAGAGCCCACAATTTAAGTCTTTAATCAATGGAGTAAATCAGTGAGGGCGGGTTCCCCCTCAAAATGTGTCACGGCATGATTAATGGCACAGAAAATAAAAAAAAAAGATACAGAAAAACTGACATTAGTGTGATTCACAAGAAACGTACTATTTCCGCCGCGGTGGATATTTACCAGAGGGGGAGTGTCAGGAGCGAAACAGTGGCAGGACGCTGGCATGATATGTGTACATGATATCTCCACATGATGTGTGAGCATGGTTTGTGCGCATGGAGATATTCATATGCATGATGCGGAGGCGTTGTGATGGAGGAAAACAAGTGTATATTTTCTAATCGAAGGGAAATCCAATTTGATCTGTTTTTCAAAATTGTGGGGTAATTCGTTCCTTCGCACAGATGCGGAAGAATATGGCTCACTTTTTATGTTCCAATTTAACATCTCATCTGCGTCTGTACTGGCACAGAAGTGGATCCTCTCTGTGAGAGCGAATCGTGCGCAGCAGGACATGCACTTCACTATGCGTGTCTGGTGTCTGTGTTTGTGTGCGGGGGAGGGTGTCTGAAAAAAAGTTAATCAATTGGTCTACATCGAGTTGGGCCGCCTCCAAAAAATTCTCGGCAGCTATTCAGTTGTTCACCTGTTCATTGTTCGTTGGACTTTTTGGCATCCGTTTCCTCCTTCTTGGAATCTATTCCTTCCTTTTGTGCATCCTCCGTTCCGACTTCATGCGAAGTGGTAGCGACTTGTCCCTTCTGAGTAGACTCCGTTCCCGGCTGATTCGAAGTGGTAGCGACTTGTCCCTTCTGAGTAGACTCCGTTCCCGGCTGATGCGAGGTGGTAGAGACTTGTCCTTTCTGCGCACACTCGTTTCCTGGCTCATGCAAGGTGGTACCAACCTGTCCTTTCTGTGAAGACGGCGTTCCCGGCTCATGAGAAGTGGTAGCCACTTCTCCCTTCTGTGAAGACTCCGTTCCAGGCTCATGCGAAGTGGTATCCACTTCTCCCTTCTGTGAAGACTCCGTTCCCGGCTCATGCGAAGTGGTATCAACTTCTCCCTTCTGTGAAGACTCCGTTCCCGGCTCATGCGAAGT